GTAGTGCAATTATGTACCCTTTTCAGTGTCACATCCCTGTTTATATGTGAATTAAGTGTTCCTCTTCCCCTTCCCAAGAGTTTAACACACCAAAAGTGAGATGAGGATATCTGATTGGCAATAGTGTTGAAGAAGTCCTTAGGCACGAATTCTGAATATCCTGAAAGGTCTAGATAACAGCAGCAATATAGATAGCCACATAAACATAACAACTTTCTTTAATTTACCAGACATGTTTCGACGATACATCGGTCATCTTCAGTGTTGCATATTGTGAAATCGCCGTTGAATTTAAATCGCGTGCAATGTTGTCCCGAAAAGTTTTAATTTGGTTTTGTAAAGTAAAATTTTTAAGTTTTGATAATTTCAAACCCTGAGGCCTAGTCATTACATAATACTCAAAGTCTTTAATATGCAAGAATACCCCTACCCTGGATTACCTAGCAACTGGTCCAATGTTCCCCAAAATTGCATATTTTGTTTATTCTGATGAAACATTGAAGCTGGTCTTTAAATCCATTTGTGTCTCCTAAATAAATGTTAAACCCAAGGGAAGTATTTAAGATCGAGTAGTGCTGTAAATTACATTGTTCATTCATTCCTCTTTTTGTTTATCTGCTTTAGAAAGTAGTTTTATAGTAAAATTAAGACGGGATGCATTAGGAAATTGAGTAATTTTAACTTTCAGTGGACAAAAACCTTGTACCAGAATTCATAATTTCAAGCATACTGCATGCTTTTTTACTTTTTTCGAGGGCTATAAATGTAATAAGTTATATGAAATAACTCCAAAAAAAAGTTCTTACACACTGTAAGAGCTCGAAAAAACAAACCTCAAAAGCTTCTAATTTCACAAGATGAAATCTTATGCATGACGATTTTAACTGTGTTTTCTCAATTCTTGTTAAATTTGGTATTTATTTTTGCGGGCCCCCTTAAAAAAATTGTCTTGGATGTTATTACAGATAACTAATAAATTATTACTTCTACTGCCCTTGAAAAGTTATAAAAAAGAATGCTTTATTATTTAAAATATTCTGGAACAAGATTTTTGTCCACTGAAAATTAAATTTTACTCAATTTCTTGATGGATTCTGTCTTTATGTCCTTTTTTGTTTCTCACAGATATGCTTGCACAGTTTCATCCAACATTTATGTTTTCTTGGTGACCTGGGTTCTTATTTCCACTGAAGGTGGAGGCTCATCAAAACTTGATCCTTCTGATTCAACAACATTTACGGTTTGTTGATTTAGCTTATACAAGTACTTCTAGTGAGTCATATATGTACAACACTTGCCAAAAGTAATCATGTACTTAAGCTGAAGATTTAAGTATATATGGTTTTTTAGGTGCTGAGGCCTTAGTTGAATTAAAATGAGTGAACTCTTAGACCTGTATTGATTCATGGACTCTTTTTGAGGTGTGGGTGTAAAAATCTTCTCATTATTATTATTATTATTATTATTATTATCATTATTATTATTAGTATTATTTAATAAATATTATTATTATTATTATTTATAATACAATTATTTATTTATTATTAACCCATTCGCCCCTGAACCGCCCGTAACCGCCCGTGCGGATCCAGGTCCTTTCTACCCTTTGTGACGTCATCAGTTTTAACGGTCAAGGACAACTTTCTTCGCTAACTTGTGCAGAGTGAAGAGATCTTTCAAACCATACCAGAATGAGCACAATTCAGTCAAGGACACCGGAGAAAGAAGCAAAAAACCACGTGACATTGACCTGAAAATCTCCATGAAAATCTTGTTCCATTGCCCACCTACCTTTCCTTTCACCTAATCCTAAGATCCTAAAAGCTTTCCTAAAAACTCTTCCCACCAAAATGAAGCCTACTAAATGCCCAACTAGGGAAAAAAAAAATGAGGCAAGAAAAGCAAAAAAAGAAGGGAGGAGAGAAAGCGAAAAGTAAAAGTCAAGACTGCTGTGTCACTTTTAAACCCAAAAACTATCTCGAAATTTTGCTTTCTGTGCATGCCCGAACTTCGCAAGCAGATATTTTGCATCTGGATCAGAAGGCCGCGAAGTGTACGACCTGTGAACCGGTTTGTGGTAAGTTTTAGCTCTTAATAGCACGACAGTGACCAGAAAACCACTCGGCTAGCTTCAAAACGCGTTTTTCGGCAAAATCTCCAGGAGCGAATGGGTTAATAATAATTTTATTTATGTTCAATTTTTTATCTTTATCTTGTTTTGCAAAAGCATGTGTTAGATTGTTTTAATCAAGGTCTGAATTCTCCCATCTGTGTTATCCTGACGAAGATAAAAGAAAAGACAGTCACCACAAAATTTTGTTACACTTGCCTTGACTGTCGTCCTGATAGATCTGTCTGTTTCATAGGAGGTACATGTACATAAAAAGATATTATCATTGAGGAAGTACATGTACATTGAAAAAACAAACAAACAAGCAAACAATAATAAAAAAGAAGACAGAAGCACATCCTAAATTCCATTTTTACTCATAGTTGCATTTTCTTATTTTCTTTTTCCAGTATGTTGTATTTATTGTGGTGGGAACAGGTCTTCTCTTCATGCTTATTTTTCACATTGGACTTAAAGAACCCCCAAGAAGTTGTATATTCAGTGGGCAAGTAGCAGTTAAAGGCAGTAAAAGAAGGGCAGACAATTGGATCCACTGGTTTAAAGAAAAACAGTTTTATCAGGTTTGTAAAAAAACCCAGCCTACATAAAGAATTAATGCTGCAAGAAAAAAGGCTGCATAAACAAGACTGTTTTTGGCATGGTAACATAAGAAGTTATTTTTTTTGGCTTTGTAACATTATGTAGAAGGTTAAGGTTGCTAGCAATAAAGAGTGAAGTATGGATCAGAGGTTAAGAAAGAGATTCTAACCCTTTACATCTCTAGCTGGTAACCTCATAATTACAAAAATTTCCATATGGGGCTTCTTTGGAAAGATGTGTGCAAGATATGTTACATGTACTGTACTTCTTTTTAAAACAATTTGAAAAAGATGGGACTTCTTAAATCAAATTTTCGGTTACAATCGGCGGCGAAATTAGTTGAGACACTTTTTACTTTAAGCGGCCTCTCTAACATTTTGCAAACTTTAAAAAAAGAAAATACTGTAAATGACTTAATAAATGCCCATTTACAAATATATGCCTCCTATGTGTTTAACGCCCCCTCTATGCTGTTAAAATCATATTAGATTCCCCCCTGTGAGAATTACTCCAAAATACTGGGAATTACCAGAGAGGAGTGAACTCATTCGATTCATTCAGTTTCTTGCTTGATTATTAACGAGACTTTGCATATTTCATCTTGTTCAATGTCATGTTTAGAGTAAGGATAGACTAAAGATAGTAACACAATAACCCTGAGTGAAGATTCTGACATTGATATCGGGATTTGAAAGGTCAATATGGATCTTTAGACAGCCTAGACTGGCGTATTAATTAATTGATGGAGTGGATATTCCGCTATTTTTAAACTCTCTTGATATTTTCACTGAAGGCATATTAGGTTTGTTGAGCTTGTTACAGTAATGAGAATAAATGCCTCTCTCTAAACACCCCTGCTTGGACCCCTAGAATTAAATAGATGCCCTGGGCATTTATTAGGTCAGTTACAGTAAAACATCCCTCCCCCAACCCCACCCGCCATGCATTTTTGTGCCACTGTTTTAGCTACTTGTGGCTCAACTTTGAATGAAGAGGAGAGGGTAGTGCTTGACACTAGCGCTAGTCCACTAGCCCAGGACTAGTGAAAATTTACGCTGGGCTAGTATTAAAGAGTGTCCTCCTACTAGCCCCTAGACCAGTAGCTTACTGCAGTTCTTTTTCTAATGCTTTATCAGTAATTAATTTTTTAGCTTGAGTATCAAATGTAAACCAAAGGACTCACTGTTCATATAGTGGAGGTATCATAGCTTAGTATTGACTCGCTAAACAGACGCCATGTTGGTAATGCAACTACGTGGTCATTTTCATTTCACTCAGTAAAGTAGGGGCCTGGGTAAGAGCTGTCATCAAAGTCGGGTAAGCCCCATTGGACATATTGCAGTTTTTTTGTGCACATAATTTACGGCAGGATCAGGAATGAAGAAGATTTCAAGCTTTTTTTAACAACTTACCTTTGAGAAAGCATCCTGTTCAATGGTCTTTTGACTCAAACAAACATATTATCAACCTACCAAGTGCAACTTAATGGAAGGAAAGCTTTCTATGGAAATTTTTAGTCCTAGTTCAATATCCTTCATTGACAATGCAATTGTAAGAAATTTTACTCTTTGAAGCTTTTCAAAGACTTGCCTCCAACTTGAAGGGAATTTGTATATGATCACCTTTTGATTATGGAACCACGCTCGACCTGTAGTCAAGAATATCATTCTGATCACAGTATAACTGAACCAATAAACTAAACGTTACTGGTCATTTTCATTCCCTTCAAGCCGTGAAAGTTAGAACTCGTAGCCTTCATTATAACGAATATTAGAAGTAATTGTTGAGTTTTAAAAATTACAACACATGACATTCAGATTGCCTCTTGAACTCTGGACTGACAAGAAACAAAGCAGCATATATAAGCCATTCATTTTATTACTGTTGATATCTTTTTGCCTCTAAAGTTGGATTGGTTTTTATAAAAATTGTTGTATTAACTGTTTTAATAAAGAATAGAAAACTAACAAAAATAACTGAGCAACTTTTATTCCTTTTATTTCATTTTATTGCACCGGCAGAATATACATAGTATTATTTCAGTTAAAGGACGAACCTGTAGAAGAGGAGAAGACTGGTTCCTAACAGCCCGGTACTTGTTTTGGACCAGTGGCTTGTCGTTCTGGGCTGGTGATTTATTTCACTCACTAGCCCATTGCGCGTGTAGTGTCCAAAAAAGTTAGTGTCGAGCACTGGAGGGGAGGGGCGTCGATTGTTTTGTTCTCCAAAGTTACGCCATTTGAGGACCATGTCACGACAATTTTGTTGCCGATTGTAGTTTGGCCTCATAAAGGTAGAGTTTGAAATCAAACTAGCAGTCAGTTGATCTAATCCATTTTTTTTTATATTCTACCGGAATCAAAGCACAACAGGTATGCATGGACAGGCGATACACGACTGTTTTGTGCTAGGACACTTGTATAAAGTTATAGCTTTTAATAGTAACCTGATATCGGGCTCTACTTTTGTTTTGCTTTGTAAAATGATATTCTTGCTTCCTAAGCGAATAAAAAAGACTACGCAAGGGAGAATGTATGATGGCTGCTAAAATTGGGCCTCGCATCGGTTATCTTTATGGTGAATATTTACATGAAACGGTCATTTTAATCCTTCTATTTTTTTTTCTTGGCAGGTGGCAGCTTTGTACATGTGTACTCGTCTCATTGTCAACATTACACAAGTTTACATTCCTATGTATACTTTGGAAACATTGTCTCTAAACAAGGTATAATTAATTTTTATCAGGGCTGCAAGCATGAGATTTCAAGTCCCTATGTAAATGTAATAAAATAGGAAGGGAATTAAACAGCGAGGAAGTTCTTCTGGTTCTGTCTGTTAGGGTCATATACGTGTTTGTATTCATAGCTGCGTGGGCAGGGAAAATCCCAGCCCTGGCTCTTATTGACAAGTATAGTAATAATTGCAGATAAGGGGAACTGTGCGTTTGATTGGGGGAAAGGGGAGGGGGGAATGAGTGGTAGTCGTAAGAAGGTGCAAAACGTGATGAGCTTCTAATATTGAGAAATCAAAATCAAACACTTTTAACAATATGAACATCAGCAGCTGTCTTCATCAGTGTTATTGTTTGTCCTCCCACTTTACAATTCGTTGCTATTTTTTCAACAACCAGTTGTTTTAGGGAAGCTAAGAAGCGTCCTTCATTTTACTTTTGCTCCCTGGTCTACATCTCCAACACTTTCCTAAGGATCCTTGCTGACCCCAAAAGGGCACATCTCTGAATCAGTTATGGTCCTCAGATTTTCTTTTAACCTCAGTGGTATTGTTCCCAATGCCCTCACCACTATGGGTATCACCTTTGTCCTTATGCCCCACATCTTTCAGATTTCTCTAGCGAGGTCTTGATATTTTTCCACTTTCTCGTCCTCTTTTGCTCTCCCCCTTCCATCATCATCATCATCATCATCATCATCATTATTATTATTATTATTATTATAAAAAATCCACTGAAAAATTCAGCTATTGGTTTTGTTATTTTTTAGTCCAATGTCAATTTATTGCAGTTTTCCCAAAACCTTTTATGCGTGTTTTGTTGTTGGTTCTAGGACACCATTGCCAAAATTCCCTTGGTTGTCTACGTTAGTGGTTTCCTTTCAACATTCCTAACCAAGCCACTAAACAAGTGCTATGGGAGAAAGGTAAATGCATACAATATAACTTGAAATACTTTTAATAATTTAAACTCGTGTACAAAAATAATCCTCATGAGAGGAGGTGATTGAGAAGCTGGTGGAGCTGAGAACTGCAGCCGAGTGCAATTTGTAACCATGACAACTCTGTGAGTGGCATCCACTGAGGCACCATCACACTACTAATCAGTGGAACCTAATTAACATACATTTTTTATACTTACCGAGGAGAGAGGAGGGTGGCAAGCAAAAATCCTAGAACCACGTGCTGTGAGCAGCAACTTGAACATAAAGGCCTGACCTCAACATAGAAACTGTTAAAACTTATCAGGCACAGCTGTACATGTAGGTATTAGAGTGCCCCTGATAATCTCGTATGAGAGACTGCTGGCCAGCTTTGTCTCCAGTTTATAAGCTAGCCTAAATTTTATCTAGCAACATTATACTCATTTTTGTATAGTCTATTTTAATAGTTAAACTAACAGTACACTGACGTGTCTATTTAACGTACTCTGGTAAAAACGTCCATAAACTAAATTGGAATCTTAGAAAGACTTAAAAGTATATGTTTCAACCTCAGTTAAGAACTATTATTTTCGTATCTTTTTTCAGGGAACATTTTTTCTAGGTCTTCTCTTAATTGCAGGCACAAGGTATGCCTGCCGTCTTTTATCATTACAGAAAGTAGCCTTGACTGTGATCTGTTCTGTTGTAAATTANTCTTATGTGAATATACATTTGCACACAAAAACCATTTCAGTGGAGTGAACATGATGGAGAGGTGTGAGTGTGGTAGTATTTTTTAACTGGGGATAGGAAAAAATGATTTTGATTGTTTTTGTTTCGTTTTTTTTTCCGAGGGGGGGTTTGGGGGGGGGGGGGGGGGGGGGGGGCCGGGGCGGGGGGGCGGGGGGGGGTTTTTGGGGGGGGGGGGGGGGGGGGGGGGGCATTTATTAGAGAAGGGGGTGTAATAGAAACTTAAAAGCGTGGGGTGGGGTGTTTATTAGACAAGACCCGTTGATTCAACACAGCGCATCTATTTGATCGTTGAGGGTTTATGTGGCTTCCTGTGGTATCAAACTGATCTTTTTGGTATATTCTCTTGTTTATCCACAGTTTATGGATGTGGTTTATTCAAAAGGGCCACCTCTTACAAACATATGGAGTATCAGTGCTGTTAGGTGTTGGTGGATCCACGCTTCTAGTTACTGCCCTGACTATGTTAGCAGATCTTATTGGGGAGAATGTGGTACGTGTGTTTGCCCGGTGAAGGCGTTGTGATAAGACAAGTAATAGGAAACTTAGATGAGTTACAGTTAAAACCCGCGATTAAGAGCCTTTTTTTTGGAACCTGTTATGCTAAGATTTGCCTGTTAGGCCCCCTCTATACAAGAAACTGTTAACCCTAAAATTTGAAACAGTTTCTTGTTTTCTAAAATCTATATTAAAAAATCTGTACGCTTGGGCAAACAAGATAGGTCAACATTCAGTATCTTCTTTGGAGACATGAGGGTCCTTATTACTCCAAACTGCAATGTAATGCACCGTATGCAGGTTTTGCGTAAGGAATGACCTGAATACCTCTAAATATTCTTAGCTACAATGTATTCATTTCTTCACAAAATAAGAACCTATTTAAGAACCTAAACAGCCTAACTTTTTGCTACTTACCATTTATGTAAGAATCTGTTTAGGCTAACGTGGAAAAATGCAAGGTTCTTAATCGCGTTTTTGCTGTATGTCATGATGTTTGTACACGAGAATCAAAGATAACCCTGACATAAAGGTTTAGTTTCATTTAAAATTACATTACAACTACACCTCAACTAAATGTGTATGTCTTTGCCTTTCGATGGCCCGGATGGAAACGGATTGCAACTTGAAATATTTGCGCCAACGTTTTCAAGTTTAGCAAACTGATCATAGTTTGTTTTCCCTCTTGTGTTGTTCATATCCTTAGCACTATCTAACTTTGTAGACTATCTCATCAATTTATGGGCAACGACCGAATCAAAGTGTTTTGAATTCAGCATATTGCACATAAAATGTTCTAATATTGTTATTTCGGATTTGACAGGAAACAGGTGCCTTTGTGTATGGAGCCATGAGTTTTACCGATAAATTATCCAATGGAATCGCAGTTCAGCTGATCCAGATATTTCATCCTTGCAATTCTTTGGGAGAGTAAGTATATATTTTTTTTGACAACTTGCCGTTGTGAGTGAAAGCGGGTGTATACTCATGTGACAATATAACTGTATAATAGTTTAGAGGACAAATCGTAAAAAAATTGTAGTCAGTTAGACAGTCCATTTACTTAGAAGACCTAGGCAGAGGAAGCTATGGTACATGAGACAACGTTGTACCCTTTTTTTGTACAACAGAGTGAAAAGCAGTTTGTCGAATACTGTTTCCAACCGATTTTTTTAACATTGTGTGCACGTTGAGCGCAGAATTGTCAACAACAGTTTGTACGTGTAATACTTTGCAGAACACTGCACATTTTTCAATTTTGCTCACATTTTGCGCAACACTGTAAACCACAGGGTTCAGACTATTATATACAATATAGTGCACCACATTTTGCATAACTATGATTTGTGCGACACTAGATAACACTGCGTGCAAGGTTGAGCGTATCATTGTCGACAACTGCTTGCACAACATTGTGTTTAACGTTTTGCAAACACGGCACAACATTGTGATAAACAGTTTGTATAACGTTGCGTGCAATGTAACGCATTGTGAATTCTGGTCACATTTTGCGCAACATTGTGAACCACAGGTTGCACATTACTATGTACAGTATAGTATACAACATTTGTGCGACACTAAATAACACTGTGTGCAAGGTTGAGCGTAACATTGTCGACAATGGCTTGTACAACGTTGTGTTTAACGTTTTGCAAACACTGCACAACATTGTAATAAACAGTTTGTATAACGTCACGTGCAACGTAATGCATTGTGAATTTTGCACAATATTTTGTGCAACATTATAAAAAACAGTTTGTTGCACAAATATGTGAAGTACAGTGCACTACGTTTGTGCAAAATCTTACATGTATAGCATTGGGAGAGACGTTGAGCTCAATATTGTCAAACGAGTGAACAATATAGTGCCAATAATTGGGCAACATTGTATAACGTTGGGCGTAACTTACTTTGTGCGCAACGCTGTCGCAAATCTGGTGTGCAATGTTTGCACAAAAGACCGGCTACATACCTAACACTGCTTGGACGCAGCGCTGTACGCAACGAAATCAATGTAGAAAAATGCGCGAAAGTCTCGTGTGCGTAGCATTTTGCACATCATTTGCATCATCATATGAAAAAGGGCATTAAATTTCGCGATTTAACCGTTCTCCATTTCATTTATTTTTTTAAAAAGTCTGGCCCTTTAAAAATTTCTTGATAAACTGGAACAAGCAATGTATGCAATCTTTGCAAACCAAAGCTATTTCACAACTGAAGATACAAAATGGAGTTTACCAGTAAAACCAGTTAGCAATTTGCTTATTTGTCAATACATGATCCTGTATATGCTGTGCTATTACAAGTTAATTTTGATTTGAATTTCCTATGTAGGTATTAAATTTCGCAAGGAATTATTTTCGCGGGTCTTTAATTTCGCGATTTCTTTTACAATTACGAAAAACGCGAAAATGTAAAGGGTTTAGTTTTATCGTTTGTCTCACAATTGTCACTTTGATATTGATCACCACGTTTCGACCGCACACTGCAGGTCTTCATCAGGCGATAGTGTTGATTTACTGAGTCGAACTATTTGTACCACCGTGGTTGTTAGTGATTGGTGTATCACAAACCTCGCTCATGGTTGGTGGGTTTCGATCCAAAAGCGTTGTTGGCATTGTGAGAGGAAGAAACTGATCCCTCAGCGATCCACTGTGGTAGAGATCGTTTGCTATGTTGTCTTATTGTAGGCATCCACGCGTAAGGAATTTCAATTCCACTGTCCCTGTTGTTATCTTATGACAACGCGAAAATAGTACCAATAAGGTACATGCGGTCAACATGAAGCAACAAAAATGACTTCTTGGACCCGTTGGTGAGTGTCCGTCTTGGAGAGGTTTTCGTTTTATAGAGTCAAAGACCCTAAAAAGGCGGGAACCGTTATTTTACTGTCGGTGTCCATGCATAGGAGTTTTTGACCATACTTATTTAGCTGGATGTCATGGGAAATCAACGAGTAATGGCAGTATGCAATGCCGTATACAGAACTGATGTAGCTCCAGTTAAACGAATGGTGCTTTTACTGTTGCTTGATCTTTCTTACATTTTCGTTTTCATCCCAGTAAAAGCAAAGTTAATGCCATGGGATTGAGAATAAGGAGCTCCTCGATCATGGCTTGAAACTCTAGTCGTCTCTTGTCGCCACCTAAATTCTTTCCTTCAAGAAAGCCGCCTTTTTGGGTTACACCAGAAAAGGATGAAAAACCATGCCCAACTCACTGTGCGAAGAAAAAAATATTTTGGAAGTCGTACAGTTAAGGTTGATGTTGATAAAAACGACTGTCCGATGTGAATGTGTTGGCTTTGAATCTGAACGTATTTGGTCTGCCACGCCTTGACCACGCATCGCTTGGTTTCCTTGGACACGGAAACGTGACAGTGCACATTGTTGTTGTTTTTGTTTTTGTTGTTTCTACAGTGGCCATAATGGCACCTCGTCTCCGTGAAGTTATGACGCTGAGATTTTCCACCATTGAACTTTCCTAACATGGCGTTTTCTTGTAATGTCACGCAGTTTCGACACAAATGGAATCGATGATTTCTAAATGCCGTTGAAGATTCATACTGTCCGCTATGAATTGACGTCAACTTCAACTCTTGTAATGTCTTAGACTTTCGATTTCATTTATTCTTTCGGTCACATCATAGACAGCTCAGGTCAGGCCTCAGAGCTTAAAAGCTCTTAAACTAGGCAGGTCAGGATAATAAGGATAATTGTTATTTTATTTAGTAACTATTTTTTGTAATCTTGATGCTATTGATTCTGCTTGGCTGCACTTTGCTGGTAACCGCAAAACATACCTCACTGCTTCACAATATGCCTTCCTTTGCTATTTGCTGATCGTTGCTGCTTAACCGGCGCGTTTTTTGACTTCAATACATGTTGCATTTTGCTATTCTCATCCATGATGTGGTTTCAGCCATGGAGGTATGCACAGTCCAGGGAGTGGAAACACCACAGCTTTGCCGACTGGGGTCGGTCATCATCATCATCCACACATGTACGAGTGTGAAATCAAAACTCATTTTTACTTAATACTAGTTATTTTAACTTTTCCTTCGAATTTCTATGCCAGAATGATTTAGAACTGTAGTGTTGACGGAATAGATGTATGAAATTGTTTCAAAACATTTTCAGGGGCGTAGCTATTTGTCCAAAAATAACCCTACGTGCTATAAAAACAAAAACAAAATAGAGGAACATTGCAAAGAAAAAAAACCGAGGTGAATTAAGCGGTTGCTGAAGAAAATGCGAAGGCTTTAACTGTGGCCTGCAAAACACGGTCCTACGTTCAATATTGCGTTATGAATCGCATACTGATTCATAGCGCAAAGAAAATCGAGTTACCCGCGTGAACACGATTTAGGAAACGTAGTTGGGGAAAATTTGGAACAATGTGCGTATTGCTAGAAAGTTCCCGGCTACACCCCTGAAAACTCGCAGTTGTCTTTTTTTAGGGACCGTTCATTTTTTTTATTAGGTAGCGGTTGGGTGGAATTTGAGGGGGGGGGGGGCATGAAAGAAATATGGCTGACCAGGAGCATTAAATAAGCCCCCCCCGTCTCTATTGAGCCCCCTCCCCCCCATCAAAAGTGCTTGGAAAAAATAAGCCCCCCGGAGGGCTTAATAGAGGATTTACGGTTAATAGAGTTTTAAATAACAAAACTGGACCATTGTTTGAGAATTTAATTTATGAGAAGACGCGTTTTAACTTTTTATTCAGTAGCAAATAGCGTGACAATAACCCCTTTAATTGTTCAAGGTCGATTTAATTAATTAGCTCCATGGTTCTTTTCAGAGCATGTTGCCCTAAATGTGATCTGTACTACAGAGAAGTTATGGTAGTTGTCACCGGTGGAGCCACTATTATTTCTCTGCTGGTTCTTTTAACAATGCTTAAGACAAAGATTGGTGAATTTAAAGGTGATTTTAAAGGTTAGTCAATTTTTCACCATTCACTGTAACTGAATTCATTCCAGTCCCTGGTGCAAACTTAAGAGTAGGCGAAGCATCGGGTGAATTTGAAAAGCAGTAATAACTCGTGACACTATTTTGTGGAAAGCGGTCAATATAACTTCAAGAAGGTAACGTAAACCTTTCAACCTTTTGCCGTGATTCCTAAGCTGCATTTGTCACTTTTGGAACGAGGAAACTGGGGCGAGTTATTTTTCGCAAAGACTTCTGGGACTGTCACTAGGCAGAGGGGAAAAAATTGGCCAATCGCTGACCGATTCTAACGATCCCAGAACCAATAGCGGGACTCGTTTCGGTTCCAGTCCCCTTCTCGTTTATAAAGTGGGGAATCGCTTTTAGACAAATTTCCAGTGAAAGTCAAGTGCTATTCGTTTGCATTCTCTGTTAAAAGGTTTTATATGTGACAGTAGAATCAAACACAAGAGTGTATCTTTAATTTTAATTGCCAGAGTATTCATCTGCCTTTCTAGCCACGAAGGGTCCGCTGGTACTACCTGGCCATTTTAAAATCACCTGTAACTGATTGCGTTTATATTTCCTTCCTTGACTCTAAGATTGAAAATGAGTTCACCTGTCACCGTTCCTCTCCGTTGATTGATTCTCAACAGTAGTAAGAGGCCAGTTAAGTGCCTTTCGGTTGTGAGGGTATTCTTCATCTAAGGCTCAACTGGTGAAACACGTTTAACGAAAAGCAATGTTTACTGTTTCCTCTGGCCTTTCCTTTTTGTTATCATCCTGTGATTTTTCTGTACACTGGCTTTAGGGGATAAGAAATGTGCGTTTAGCCATCCCTCCCCCTCCTCTTCCCTCTCTTGACGTTTGTAACCCTTGCAAAATGACAGGTTATGAAATGGATGTTTAGAAGAATGCATGCTGAGGACCGCTTGCTCGATATTCTTACCTGTTTTCTAACTATTGCAATTTCTTATTGCAAGATGGCGCTGTGGTAGACGTGACCGTTCAAGATGCGCTCCTCAGTAAGACTGCCTCAGTTAGCACAAGCTGCTCTAAGACAACTGGATCATCCAAAAGCCCGTGTCTAATGTATGAGCCCACGACCCCTCCCAAATACGGGTCATTGAATGGCACGTGTCAGAATATACCATGCTCAATACAAGAGGATTATTCTAGCTACGATGAGACCAGGCCGTCGCCAAAAACGTCCCGGTGACGTTGTGGAGAAGATGATACCCCTGGTACTGTACTGAATGTGATGGGCTGTGAGGTGTTTTCTTAGTTAACGATCCCCTGATATAGAAGCAGAAACTCGGTTTGCCCACCTATGAAAGGAGATTGTGGTTGAGCGAGGTGAACTAAAGACTGGTTCTGTTCCATTGTTCACTCCTGCTGTAATGAAAGGATTTCTTGACTATACAAGTTCAGCTTGTCAGTCCGCTTTAAGAAAGGCGACTGTGTTTGAGCGAGATGAACCGAAGAACTGATCCACCGCCCTTTGATCCCGGAGGCCTTTTTCAACAAAATGCCTATAGCTGTTAAAACTGAGCGCTGGAAACGATCCCCTGATTGCAGAACGCAGTTTGTCCGCCTTAGTATAAAGGCAACCACGTAGATTTTCCTAGTTGTTAGAACGCTGTTCTTAACAAGCAGCAAATAATTCTGAAAAGAAACGAAAATTTTTTATAGTATTGAAACGGAGAAATATAAATACTTGTTTTTAGCTGGTCTTGTTAACGGTCGTTCGATTGTCCGTTACCAAGAAAAGGCAAACGAGAGAGAAAACGAAGAAGGTAACAAATTTCATTTTGAAAAAAAAGAAAAACTAAAACTAAAATAAAATGTATTGACAAGTAATCGTTAGCAAATAACGGTGCTTCGTTAAATAATTCATTTGAATCATTACACTTCACTATTTCATCCATATACTGAAAAGCAAGAACAGCTTCGCGCGACAGTGTGCAAAAAGTGGAAGAATATTTTTTTTTACCTCAAGGTGGAAAAGGAAGACACTTTTTAAGGACATACTGAGCTGTTATCTATCGGAATCAAGTTGTCTCAGTCAGTGTTACTGAACATTGAAACTTGAATATTTAAATATTTTAAATTAAAGATATTTCCCGACAGAATGCTAAAATGTTAATTTATTTATACGTAAAAAATAAAGGGGAACTGGAAAAAAAAATTTGGTTCACTAAATCAAAGAGAAATATAATTAATTAGCTCTTTTGTCACGAGAATTGTAAGTGATAATGATAAAAACTTTAGTGAGACTACTTCAATGCTGTAAAATTTTATGTAAATATTTTAAAGAAATAAGCTACTTTTTGAATAAAATGAACTTGACGATCTCAATTTGCAAGCTTCCTTCACCTTATAACGTTGTTCTGCAGCTTAGTGAGAAATACCTTAAAGTGGCCACGGATAAGCAAGAATTGCAGACTGCATTATGATACAAATAATGTTGTGGAGTGTGGCCCTTTCTATATCGCAAATGGTGCAAGCGAAAATTAACTCTCACTGATTCCTTGTACTATAATGGCTTACGTTCATTGTCGGTTGAGATTCTAGTTTTTAAAATATATACTCATATTGCCTGTTCCACCATCTAAGCTTAGGTGTTACGCGGTTTTCCATTTATATGTGCCCTCCATGGTCTCTTTGCCGCTTTAGTCGACCATAATTACCCGCGAACTGCCTCTATCTGATTATCAGAGCTATAAATGAGTCGAAAGAACAACAGTACATCTAGCTCGGAGGTTCTTTGCTCTAGTTTACCTTTTGTGGTTCCCTGATTCCCCGGTTATACAATGGCTCAGCCTAGTTCCTAGGCGTTCTCAGCTCGACAACGGGGCAAGAGAGAACGCCTAGGGACTAGGCTGACAATGGCTGAAGCTGACTGGGAAGTTCCGGCATGATCTCTAGCTCTTACTACTCAGAGTTAATCCTATCTTCCACAAATTGTGATTCCTGCATGAAGGAAACAGATTCGACCGGTTAACGACCAGTTTTCTTCACAATAGCTTACTCAGTCTTCTCGCTGTTCAACAAAGTGGCGATAGTGGGGAGATCAGTTTCGGACTTTGCAAGTAAAAAGGGCGCTGTTTCGACTGTAAGAGATTTTTGCGTAGTAATTGTCTGAACGCTCAGGAGCCGGTTTGAGATGATGTGTTCCCAAGTTGTCAAACCAGTCGAACAGTTTCAAACGCTTGAAGTAGTTCCCAAAGAAATCTTAGGAACTGAACTAACCAGAACTAATATAGGGGTCCAGTGAGACTTGAGTGTTAATTCGAAAGGCGGCAGAGAACCCAAAGAAACCCACGCAGGCGGAGGAGACCTTTATGAGATGAAAGCCGAGATAAGCGCATTGTAGCTTGCAGTGTTGGCGTATGTTCTCGGGCGTCCAAGCGCTCAGTTTTTAAAAGTAGAGGCGGATTCGGTTGGGAGAAATGAGAGGGGAGGGGGAGAAAAACCATGCAGTAAAAACCAATGGGATTAGAGTGCTCTGCAATCCCCCTCCCCCTCCGGAAAACACCTGCACACAGGCCTTGAATGCACTTTCGTTATGTCAATCACTAGTTACTAGATCTCGGTGAACGAGGTCTTCTCTGTGCCGTAAAATAGACGCTCACTTCCAAATAAACGCCTCTAATAAGCACCCCCTCTACGCTATTAAAATTGTATTAGACGCCCCTCTCTAATAAACGCTCCCTGTCTAATAGACGCCCCCTATGAGAATTACTCCGAAATACAAGGAATTGGAAAAAGGAGCAAAATCATTCAGTTCATTCAGTTTCTTGCTTGATTAACGAGGCTTTGCGTATTTTATCCTGTTCAATGTTAAGTCTGTAGGTTTTTCATTTAGAGACGCTTTGTAGTTTTCGCAGTGATTTTCTTTGAGCGAAGTTTTATGAGATCAATATTATAATTCGACCTTCTTGCTATTTTCGCCGTCAAGTTTAATGATTCTGTTAGCATTCCTTTCTTGTTTCATTGTTTTCTTTTTTCTTTGTTAAGGACCAAATAGCTTCTTTTCAATTAAAGAAAATTGTTGTGTTTTTGAACTAAGTGTTCCGTGTGTTACTCTAAAATCGAGATTTCTTATTTTAAGAAAAAAAATTTAAAACAAATCATAGAATACGATTTTGTTCTCGTAAATTCAAATCTACCTGTTTAAATTACAGAGAAAAGAGTTCTTATCCTATGATTTGTTTTAAATTCTCGTAAATAAGAAAACGTTTTCTTAAATTGAGATATTCGGAGCAATCTCGATTTTAGAGTGTGTGTATTTATTTAACTTTATTTCATTGCGTGATTGCGACCGAGTTTGATTACTGAATTACAACCGGTTCAGAGTTATTCACTACTGCATGCAGTTGATAGTTTGAACGTTTAACATGAGTTACGATCGAAAAGGGTAAAGCAATTCTGTATCCTGTGGACATTTCCACAAGATATTTCTTCGTTTGCCACTTGAAAATCGTGTTTTACTTTTTGCATGAATTAAAGCAAAGTAGTAGTGACGTCACTGGACGGCACGGACGGCCGGTCGATTCAGACGTCACTGAGGGAGCTAATAACGACTCGAAGTAATCGGATGAAATTCGGGCTAATAAAAAGGCTGCTCACAAAACAAAAACAAACAAACAAAATAATAATAATAATAATAATAAACAGTAGGACACTGGGCCTATACATTACTTACTCTTTTCTCAAGTTTGATTCGTGGCAGGTAGTCAAACTATCAAAACATTTTTGTGTTAATACAAGAAAGCGTTTATCGTTTATTTTTTATATCCTTATTAATTTTCTGGGCGGTTATTGTAGTAGGCAACTCGTGTTGATAATCATGTTTTCGTAGTGTCGCTAGCCTGAGATCCCTATTATCCTTCTGTGTCGAGAAATAGTTATCTACCTTCAACTGAAAGACACACGATCCATTAGTAAAAGTAGCAAATAAAGATCATCAACGAAAGAACAGCATTTTTAAGTGTAACCGCCATTTTATTTTTGATTTTAATTAATTTATTTTCAATCTAAAGCAGCTTCATTTGACAAACAATTCTCATGACAACAAGTATACGCACTCCATCCTTGCCCAAAATCGTTAGTTTTGATTGACGTCGAATTATTTAGTTTATTAAATGGCGTTACAGCAAAGTGCTCTACTCTATTTCACTTTTGGGACGCAAGTCACCGAATTTGCTTTTTCTTGCAAAGGATAACTGGGGCGTACTTCCAAGCCCTTGCCAGATCGACATCGCAAGATAAGTCGTTCCACTTTCCTGCCCGACTCCCTTTACCAAACATGTTTCCACACTTTTCAATCCCACCAGCCTTGTTTGGTTCTCCGCTTCCCCAAGCCGTGTAACCTTTCGCCAGTGGAGTGTCATCAATCCAGTAGAACTTGTTGTCTGCCTTGCGGACAAAACCAAGCCACACACCCCACTCGGTGATGGTTTTCTGTTTCTTGAGCAAGGTGAATATGAAGTTATTCTCAGCAGCTGATTTTATTATAGCGAGGTCTCCTCCAAGCATCTGACATGTTCGTCGAGCATCGCTCCATTTTAGGGTTCGAATGTCGATGATGAGGTAGCCGAAGTTGCCGTAGTAAACCCAACCATCTTGCGAACAAGTTGAAAGTAAGAAAAATTTCCAGTTGATTAATAAGCCTCAAACATTAAGTCGCTCTAACAATAACCCTAGAACAATTAGTCGCTTTTTTAATTAACTAATAGTTTGATTACATTGCAAAAGTTTATACCTTTAGCGATCGGCGATTTCTGGTACAGGTAGTCAATTTTGTACTTCATCTCGGTTAGCAGTTTTCGATCAGCTTTTTCTTGGCCCCAGTTGTTGATGTTAAATGTTTGATCGATCGGTTGAGGCTTTTTGTGAACTGTAAGCGCCGGTGATTTTTTGACATCGGAACTTTTAGGTTTGCCTTTAGCAAAACTGCTTGAAAGAAGGATAAAAACAATGACGATGAAACGGCTCGATTTTGCAAACATGGTTGGAGTCCACTCGGATCCAAAAAAGTACGTATTTTAACCTTTTAGTGTAAACCTCGAGAAATGAAAGTTTTCGTTGAGTAAGTCTACTTGATGAATCATCACTGTCTCAAGGTTATTTTATGGTCTTCGCTGACGTATCACTGACTCTTAACAAGAACAAATTTCCCGCCGCAGCTTATCAAAACAATGATTGTGCTAAAAAAAAGATTCAGTTTGGTTTAATATAATCCTCATATGGACAAAATGTGAAATGTATCGGGGCAATAAAATTTCTTATCTTGTGCTAAACGTCCTAGAAATTGCAACGATATGTTCAAGTCAATTTTTAAAAGATGCGTCTTTTTTTTTTAACAATTGCCCTTATATTATTTATTTTACTAAACTGTGCAGGTCAAAGCCACTCTGCCAGCAGAGTATTTGGATTGTTATTGTCATTCAAAGTTAAGTACAGATCAACTACAAAGCAGTCATTCAGTGGTGACCGCATAATTTTTTAAATTCATATTAAACTAATTAATGCTCGACCGTTACGCATGATATAAGAAACCCGATCAGTCGATACTAAAAAGTGCAGATCGAAGCGACTCTGCTCGAAGGGTAGTTGGATCGTTATTGAGCATTCAAAGGC